CAAATAATTATTTATTTATGTTTATAAAACGTGTTTATTATATTTTCATTATCATCATATTATTAAAGTTTTTCACTTTTTTACAACATCATTGCTGTTTTCAGTTATAATATCAGCATTTGAATAAGTGCCGTTTTCCATTATTTTCAAATCAGTGTTTAACTAATTGTAAGTAGGTACCACTGTCAGATTATCAGCAAATGATGACTTATGGTTGGTTATGGTTGGTTAATTTGATTTTTTATATTTGCTAGCAATTTCATAGCCATCCTCGCAAGAAATTGGATCATTTTATTTATCACAAAAACCCTCAAAACAGAAAAATTAAAAGATAGGTATATGGAGATGTAATATGGATAGATATAGAGTAAATTTTTACAATAGATTTTGATTAAATATACAAGTTGTCTAATTTAGAAAAATCAAGTTTTGGCGGTTCGGTTAATCAAATGCGACAATAAAAATGAAATTGAAATAGGTCGAAGCCCATTAGATCTTTAGACATGAATATAGGGCAGCTTTATAAAATTCCCCTAAAATTACGCGTAGAATACAAATATGCAAAAATATATAGGATGTTCCATTTATAATAAGCAAATAGGTGGCGACTACCGGCATAACCGGAAGTACTACAACAATGGCATTATTTTACTTAAACTCTTTTTAAATAAAACCTCCAAAAACCAGCAGGTCCCAAATTTTCAAAATTCAATTCGAAGTAGTCTCCGAAATATTCTAATAGGCCGCCACCGTATGCCAGCTTGTAGAAGAAAATTTTTAGAGCGAAAACAGCAACAATGCTGTAAAAAAGCGGAATACTTTAATAATGCGATGATAAGTTTTATAAATGTCAAATAAATAAATTACATATTAAATAAAAAATTCAAGGTTTTAAACATTATTACGAATTATTAAAACTAAGAACTATTAACAATGAACTATGTATATCTACCATCGATATTATTATTTAGATGAATATACAACAACAATGAAATGTGTGAAATTTTAAGTAGTCGTAATAGGCTCATAGGGCTTTATAATATTTTAATGAAATCTTGACAATTGAATTCCTCTCATTATATGTTGATTTTAAAAAAAATCATCAAAATCGGAGCCGTAGAAGCCGAGATATTGAACGCCGAAGAGGGCACGCTCTTTTTGAACGCGCAATTTCAATTTCTATCATTCATCCCCTCCCTCCGGTTTTGCGGCTAAAATGGTCGGCTTGGCGATATTCATTGAATTTTCATAAAAAAGGCACACGTGTGATAATATTTATAAAAGCACATACGAAAAGTTCTTAAAAAACCTACCAAATTCATATTTTGTTGTTGTTACATTATGCATAGTTTTGCAGCTAACGCTTGTTGACTTTGACACTCGATATCTCGGAACTTTTAGGACCGATTTGAACGTTCTTTTTTTCAAGTTAAGCGTCTTTCCGAGAACTGTTTTTTAGTACTTTGGTATATTTTCCAACCCGCAAAACCGCTTCACGNTGATTTCTTTTTGTGGCCTTACCTTAAAAACACTATTTTTGAACTGCCTATTCCTGATTTAAACCATCTGCAGGCTCGACTTATAGACAAGATTCGTGAAATTAACAATACCCCGAGCATCTTAGAAAATGTCTTTAATTCTTTGAGGAACAGGTGTGAAAAGTGCTTGGAACAAGGAGGGGGACACTTTCAGCAGCTGCTTTAATTTATTGTTATAACAAGGAGGGGGACACTTTCCGCAGCTCCTTTAATTGTTTGTTATTGTTATCACGATTATTCTTTAAAATAAAGTTATATAGTCATTAACGTTATTGAAACTGACAGCTGCTATACAGCTCGTTGAGAAATGAGGTTAAGTTGGTCGCTATAAGCTACTCCCTACGTCCAATGTGTCAGAGCCAACTTCGACCACGTTTTTATTTGAACGCTCGTTATAAATATTAGTTTTTGTAAGTAACAGATCGGTAAAAACAATGCAAAACTAGCACGACGCCACACAATTTACATATTCCAATAACATAACCTCATTTCTGATCTGAGGGTGGAAATCTGTTGGGTTGGTACTTCCGATATTCACGAAGAAATTGACGAAAATTAGAACGTGCTCTAATTCGTCAAGAACTTGATGAATAAATTCATGAAGTTATTTGACAGCAGATTTGGTGCATTACACTTGTCCAATTTCTTGATGAAGCGACTTCATGAATTAATTCATCAATAAATTGTCAATGTAAAACAGCTTTAATTGCTTTCTTAGATATCTGAAGGAATTTCCGATTTCTTCCAGGGATATTGAAAGGCATTATTTGGTATTGGAGTAGCATAAACAATTTGTTACAAACGCCCCCATAGAAACATTTCGGTCATGGTTTAGTCTGGGCTAAAATCTATCAAGCATTTCTAGGTACTCTGATTAAAGTTGTGCTAGAGAATACATAATTAAATTTTTTATAATGTGACTCTTATTCATCTTTCAAGCAAAAACTTTTATCAAGAATGCCTTTTTTCGTATCTTGCAAAATAAGGTAGATATGTTTACTCTTACTCAAAATAACATTTTTGTGTTTCTGACCCGCCCTGTACAACAAAATTGAAGTTCGTCATGACGATTCGTATTTTCTAAACAAGCAAAAACTTTGATCAAGAATGACTTTTTTTCGTATCTTTCACTTTTTGGTCCATTTGTCCTCTCATAAACTCGTCCTCTCATAAACTCACATAAACTCATAAACTCCTCTCATAAAGTTAATTGATGCACTACAAGGTGTTCATTTTGAATGACTCGCCCCTAAAATTGTACCGAACTTTTTTTTCATTGACCGAATTGAAAAATAGTAATATTAATTCACAGCAGAATTTAATTATAAAAATTTTTTTACTTCCGTTAAATTTTAAAAAACTTTATGGTTTTCAAGAAAAACCGTATTAATTGACACAAGATTTTGACAGTGTTTATTACAAAATAATCACAAAGTCAGTAGTAGGCTTTATCTTTCAAATTTGACAATTGGCCAAATAAATTTTACTTCCCTTCTCTCCTAATTCTACAAAAAGAAAACAAGTACATAGATAGTCTTTAAATAAGCGAATATTTTATTAAGTAAAAAACACAAATAAATAAGAAAAATAATAATTGATATTTTTTCATCAACAATCAGAGGTAATTGTTAAAATAAAATAATTTTATAACTAACTGACAAGTTTAAGAGATAAATTCACATAGGAAATTTGAAACGCCTTTGGGAAAAGTGTTCGAATAGAAGAGGGGAGTACTTTGAAGGATACGAGGACCAATAATGCATACAATTAATAATAAAGTTTAAAGAAATTCGGTTATTTTCTGACCAGACCTCGTACCATAAAGTGCTACCACTTTTCCACACGAGTAATGGCCATTACAATTTATACATACGACGCAATTTTGTCCTATTTTCCATTAAAGAAACAATTAAATCAATTAAAAACATTTTATTTATTCATTTGTCAAGGTGGCCTGATCTAATTGATATTCATAATTTCAAATTACAGAGGTAATAAGTAACTATTCTTGCCTGTGGTAGAACAAGAAGTCCAATTTTCAAGAAGAACTAGATGTATAACTACCTATAAGAATTAAGGTTACGCTACAATTATACAATATCATCAATGAATTTTAAAAAAAAAATAAGTAAGAAAAAAAATAACATCAAAAAGACATACATAGAAACAGAATCAAGTAGGTAGGATGAAAAAACAGTTTCTCCTAAAATGTTTAACTCTCTTATATGAGTTTGTAGCGAGTCAAGTCACCCTAATGTGCTTTGTTTACGAATTTGTTTCATAATGTTTCTAGATTATGCTCTACTTTTTCTTTCATGTTCCTACAGGCTTAGATATTCTTAGATATTGTTCTAGAAACCTATGGATACTTCGGGAAACAACGAAAAACGTAAATATAAACGTCAAAGTTTGCAAAATTCACTGAAATTACTGCCTAATTCGCTTTTGATAGGCAGCGTTTGACATCGACCCTTTCCATCAGAAATTCGCAGCCTTATACACGGGAAAGAATTCCTCCTTGATCCCGATCAACATCGTCGTCGTTGCTCTGTTCTTATAAAAACACGAAGGTTGAAGAACGCGCACCACAACCTACTGCGTAAAGTGAGTGATCAGTTCGCTTCCGACTAATTTACCTCAAAGCACTTTTTAAATAAAAATTAGGTAAGTACTGAGTGTTTCCGTTTTTGCTCAATTTCTTATAACTTGCAAGAGTGTCGGGATCACATACAGGGTGTGGGTTGTTTGAAGAATATTCAAAATGTAAGTACTCCCTTAAAAAAAAACTAATTGCTAATTTTTTCTTTATTTCTTATTTTTTCTAATGTGATACAACTGCGAAGAAAAATACATGTAAGATTAACAATAAAATTAAATTAAACAGTTCTAGCTTTCTATTTTTTAAAGTTTTGAACAAACATTGAATAATTTTTTGTAATACGACCATATTTAATCAATATATCATCAGTATATATTTTTTCTTTACATGATTTTGTCTGCTATCCTAATTCCCTTGAAAATCTGTGGTATTGCAAGATTAACAGACCTGCAATGGTATTTTGCAAGCTATTTGATTATAGCGAGGAATTTTACCGAACATGCAGATCCAACTTCTTGTTCTTCCACAACTTTTAAATATTTATGGTAAACAATAGCTGCCGCGCGACAACAATTACAAAAAAAGTTGACTGTAATTGAATCTTGTATTCGCCTAGAAACTTCCAAGCTAGCGATTTATACACAGAGTGTTTTCTATAACGTATAAAACCACAAAATAATTTTCTTAAGACAACGTGACGTCATTTCAGCCGTTACTTCAAAATGGCGGATCTCCCGGACAGGATATCCGAAATTTTCCACAACAAAACAATTTTTATCTCTGGAGCCACTGGATTCGTCGGGAAAGTCCTCATAGAAAAGCTACTTAGGGTCACCGACGTGAAGAAAATGTACTTTTTGATCAGAAGAAAGAAAGGCAAAAGCCCAAACGAAAGGATGCACGACATCTTTAACAACGTCGTAAGTAAAACTCAACTATAAAACTGGTAAAGAATTGCACACGATATTTTTCCAGCTCTTCGACTTGTTGAAAGAACAGAGACCGGGCGTGATAAAAAAATGCATGGTAATTTGTGGAGACGTCTCTGAAAAAGACCTGGGTATCACCAAAGAAGACAGGGAGACGCTAAAAAACGAAGTAGACTTCATTTTCCATTCTGCAGCTACCACCAGGTTCGACGACACAGTCAAGAGTGCCATAATAATGAACACCAGGGGCACCAAATTTGTTCTGGACCTAGCAGAAGAGTGCAAACACCTGCAGGTGTGTAAATATTCCAAAATATTCAATGTTAAATACAAAGCGTACCGCAGGGTACCTATTTTGGGGCCTATCCAGTTTTGTTAATAAATTATTGTTCTGTATTCAGCTGTTCGTGCACGTTTCCACGGCCTACGCGTTCCCCAAAGAAGAAGTGACCAGAGAAAAGTACTATGCACCTTCAGTTGACCCTCACGCTGTGTTAAACGGCATAGAGTGGATCAGAGAGGAAACCATGAGCAGTTTTAGCAAAAAGTAAGAGTAATCTACCGTCATGTAGTCAAAGAAAATCGTTTTGTACTTAGAAAATATTGTTAAAGAATGTCTTTAACACTTATTTAGACACGACATTTCGTTTTCAGCATCTTGGGGGATATGCCGAACTCCTACACCTTCTCCAAGGCTTTGGCAGAGGCTCTAGTCAACGAGAAAGTCGGGAAAGTACCTGTCATCATCACCAGGCCTGCAGTAGGTATGTTTTTATAACAACAAGACTATTTCCCGAATTGTTAACAAGTTTGGTGACTTTCACAGTGATACCAACTATCGAAGAACCCCTTCCAGGTTGGTGCAACAATCTGCAGGGACCAATGGGGTTGTTTGTGGGTGGGGGAAAGGGTGTCATCAGGTCTATGTACATGGACAGCAAATCTCACGCCAATTTCGTCCCAGCAGACTGCGCAGTCAGTGGAATGCTGGTAGCAGTTTGGGATTATCTTAGGAATGAGTACTCTTCTCTTTATTTCTTGGAAGTAGCCCAGAAACAACAATTTTTGCTTTTAGGGGCGCCCCATACATCGTTAATCTTTGCGTGCCGGAATCTGACATCAAAATCAACTGGGAGGAGATAATGCTGTGTGGGTACGACGTCATCAACTATCGGGTTCCCTTCAACAACATCCTGTGGTACCCTGGCGGTACCATGACGAAGAGCAGGATCTACAACAACTTCAATTTCGTGCTTTTCCAGCTGATACCCGCCATAGTCGTGGACTTTCTCTTGGTTCTGTTCTCCTACAAACCAATGTGAGTGCAAAAAGTACCTCAAGGTACCTTTCCAGGGCCACTGCCTGCAAAGTTATGGGCTGTGTGGAATGATTTATTTTTTTTTAGATTGTACAACATCCAGATGCGTATCAGGAAAGGAGCGGAAATGTTCGAGTTCTACACGACGAAGGCCTGGAGTTTCGAGACGAAGAATATAGAAACGGTGAGGAGAAAGCTGAACGAGAAAGAGAAGAAGATTTACCAGATAGAGAGAGAAGTGATAGACGTCAAGGACTATCTGACCAAGTGTATATTGTGCGTCAGAAGGAATATTTTAAAAGAAACTGACGATATGCTACCAGCTGCCCGCAGAAACATGAAAATGTAAGTCCAAATTTTGCGTACGAAGGCTACTTATGACGTTTTGAAAAACATATAAGTTAATTTCTTCAAAATCTGCCTGTAAAAGTGTTTTTTTTTACTTTCTTTCGCAATTTTCATACCCCGCCGCTGGACAATCTAGTCATGATTAGTAAATGTGTTTCTTCATAGCATCACACCATATCGTCGCTAAACACTGAAATAAATAACTTTTTAAGGATATAATACTTACCCCACGCAAAGTACATCACTAAGTACTACTTATTTTCTTATAAAATTAAACTTGAGGGTTATAAGGATAGGTTAGCATTAATTTACTCTCCACGTGACGTTATAGCATAGCATTTCTCTAAGTCCATAGAAAACATTATTTAGAGAATTGAATTTCCCATGGAAATAGCTTAAAAATTTAAAAGGAAAATTTTATTTTATATTAAACAATATATTATTTAAATTACTTTTTTTTCTATGAAGCAATGCATATGCCCAACTTTACTCAAAAAAAACTAGAGGCAAAAAAGTAAAAAAAAATCAGAAAATCGAATATTTTGCTTTTTTTGAAATTGTTTATTAACGATTATTTTGCATAAAATTCTCTAAATAATTTTTCCTAGGAACTATAGCGAAATTTTGTTTCGTTTTTGAGCTACAACTAAAAAACTGAAAGGGTGCATTTTCACCCCTATCTCCAATTTACACCCTCTAATTTAATAGCACTCCGCGGTTTTTTCATTCTAAATAACCATTTGAACGATTCATGCAATAAAAACCCATCAACGTTGTAGTTCTATACCATATGACATAATCAATAGCTTACTATTATAAAGGTAAGTTGCGTTGAATCACCATATTTTGGGAATCCTTACTTGTCCCAGCTCTGTGTCGGTTCTTATGCGAAACACTCTGTACAATTTATATAAAAAACAAATGTTTATAGGCGAAGAAATTAGTTTTTGAGGTTAAGGTGTTAAGGTCAAACAGATTCATTGATGTGAAGTTGCAGTAGTTCAAATGTATCTCCGTGATTAGAACCGTTACAAAGTTGGATCGACCTAGAATTTCGGGAACTGTTCAGTGACGGCGTAGACAAGGATCGAAATCGAGTTTAAAAAACTAATTATAACTGTACTATTTATTTTATTTAAAAAAAAAACTGACCCTCAGTTATAGTTACATCTGGAATCCATTCCATAAACCTGTGACTTGAATACTATATACTCTAATCTCTAATCACTATATATTAGCGAGTAAATATAAAATATTTGCTTTTTATTTCAGTATGTACGTGCTGGACAAAACAGTCCTGGTGATTTTCACGGCCGCAGTAGCCTACTACTTCTACAGCTTGATTCTAGCTCCAGTCTTGAACTTGAATCGACACTAATGTGGTAAAATCACCCTTAAACGATCAAAGTGCAACGCTAGTCCACAAAGTTACTCTAGTTAATCCGAGTTTGCTCAATTTGTTTGTAAAGGTTACAAGTTTTTTGGTAATAAAGACTTCTTTCATGTGTAAGCCCCTTTTTAAGCTTTCTTGGTGAACCAAAAATACAGCTGGATCACGATCATGGCGTTGGTGATGATGTCCACGATGATCTAAAAACGGGAACGTACTTTTTTAAATTTATTCTTAGTGATTTTACTTACATTCATCAGCATATTCATCCTGTAAACAGGCAAGTCCCTTGAGGCGTTAGTAGGTTGCTCCCATATCAAAAATTTCGTGAACAATTCGACCTAAAACCCAATAAAACAGAACGGAGCGTATTTAAAGTTTTTTTTCTTACCTCCCTGGCTTCTTCCGGGCTCAAATCGTTCAGTGGGACCTTGAACATAATCGTTAACAACTCTTGTAGCTAAAATAGTGCTAATTTTAGGAACGACATATCGGATTTTGTGCAGTTAAACTTACAAGGCCCTGAATACCGTCGCATATCATGAAAATCGTTCCCAGGTACAAAAAATACGAGATGTACCTGAGGAGATACAAGAAGCGACCGGTGCTAAACTCCACAGTACCCCTCAGCACGATAAACGTGAAAAAAACGATCAAGATTAGTAGAAAATGGTAAATCAAGATTACGGCTACGATGTAAGACCTCTTTGTCTTCTTGTATCCGTAGAAACTGTACAAAATGACGGTGTAAAGCTTCCTGAGCTTCCTCAACTTCCTGGTGAAGCTGCTTTCCTTGGAAAATCTCGAGTTCTCGACAATCACAGCCAGTTTGTTGGATGCGCATAGTCTGGAGGTGACTTCCCTTTGTATCTGTTCAAAGGTCCACTTGAAAAGTAGGTAATAGTAGAGGAACTCGTATAGTGTATACACGTAGGTAGATGAAAGCAATGCACCTAAAAAAAATTGTCATTAATTCCAAAGCGCACAATTTTTTGCATCTACATTTTTGCCCCGAAAAATGCAGCGTTTAGATAGATTTTTCGCATGTTTCCAATTATTTTGTAATACGCGCACAATTTGCACAGGAAATTTACAACTTTTAGAGAAAATTTTAAGCCCAAGATGAATCACGTAAGTGCATTACTGTATTGACACTTGAAAAAAATGATTTTTTTCCGAAAAACTAAATTTTTGAAAAAACTATCAAATATTTTGCAATTTTACAAAAATGCACTTTTTCTTGCACTTGCCAAGGACTACATATTCTCAAAGTTTCGACAAACAATCTTTTTTCATTTTAAAGATAAAGAAATTTTAAAAAAATGCGATTTTTAGCCGTTTTTTTGTAATAACATACATTTTAGGCCAACCAATAGAGATTATCTGGCACACTTAAATATTGCAGCAAATTTCATGTATTTCCTTTTGAAAAATACTTAGTAAATGAAAACTCAAGTGATTTCCGCAGCAATGTCGTGAAAAATTTTTGTTAAACAATAAAAACTGCAAAAAAATACATTTTTTTTGTTTTTGTTTTATAATATATCGAAAAATAATGATGGAATCGTCTTACTCTCAATAGGACTTTTGTAGAGAATAAAAAAAAACCTATAAAATGTTTTTTTTGTGCGACCCGATCGGTTCATTTTTTACAGAGAATATCCAGAAAAACCTCTAAAATAGACCTTTTTTCAAAAATTCATAACCGTCAAATTTGGAGGAAAAGAAGATGGAAAAACAATCTTGCGGAAAATGACAGGTAATAATCGATAAAGCAATCAATTTTAAGCAAAAAGTATGTTGTGAACATTTTTCGATAAGTCAATATTTTCTGAGTTATTGGTGATTGAAAATGTACATTTTTTTATTAAAAAAAAGACGTTTTTCAGTAGTTTTTTCGAATAACTCGGAAAATAGACACTATGAAAAAAAAACAATCACGAAGAAAATGAAGCTTATAGAAAAATTAAAAGATTGATTTTATTTTGTTTATGTAGGTGCAATAGGTGCTGAGATACGGTTAGTTGAAAATAATTTCAAATTCGCCAGAAACTAAATTGGAAGCATTTAACGTAAAATAACTAAAAAGAATTCTATTTTTCAAGAAAAATACACAGAACATTTTTTAAAGTACTTTAAAAAATCTTTAAAATGAACTTGTCTTTAAGTCATTAGCATAAAAATTAACAGTTATGATCAAAATAACTGTTAATTCACTTTTTCGGAAAACAAATCAGTTCAAAAACTGATGAATTTTTCACGAAATTTAAAATTAAAGGTAACTTTCTACAATTTACATTTTTTATGTGCTAACAATATATTATACAAGTTTAAGCGGTTTAGAATACATATTTTTGAAAAATATTACGTTTTGATTGGAAAAAAAAAATTAATTCCAAAAAAATAACATATTTTTGAAAATAACTTTAAAAATAAAAAAGATACGAAAAATATTCAAGAATACAAAAGGTTAGATTTTTTTTCACAGAATATTTTGGTTTCTTTTTTATCCGTGTAGGATAAAAATTAACAGAGATGACGCTGCTATAAGTTTGCAATTGAGGGCGAGGTTCATGTTTTTCAAACCCTTTAACCTCAAAAATCTCAAAAGTAACACGTTAAAAACTATTCAATTTTACAGTACTTTTAGCTGTCGAAATTTTCCGTAAAATCGTTTTTCGATCGTCTTAATAGCTTTAAAATTAAGGAAGTTATCATTAAAAAAACCAACGGTACCTTAATTTTGGTTATCCACAACTTTGAAAATTTGAAATTATTTTTAATATTGCATAAATTAATGTAAATCGCGAGAAAGAAAATTATAACGAAAAAAATTATAATTCATTTTAAATAATCTAAAAGTCATTTTTTATATTTTGTCATTGGTGGTGGTTTTTAAGGGTTAAAACATTGCGATAAATTATAAATTGTATTATAAACAGGTAAACGAATTTAATTTATCCTGTTTGTACTATCAACTCATTTAAAACGTTAAAAACAATATTTTTTAAATATTCTGTTATTAGTAGTTATTAATTTTATGTTATTAGTTATTAATACTATAAACTATTGAAAAGATTTCTATCTATAATATATGCGCTATAAAAATATTTTAAGGTCAAAGAATCTATTAATTTTATATTTTTATCATTAAGGGTGGTTTTTAAGGGTTGAAACTTTATAAAAATAACGTAAATTATAAGCCACAATATAAAACAATATTTATTCTATACAGGGTGTGCCATTTAACACTCCCGCTGCCAATATCTCCGAAATGAAGAAATTTATTTTAGTTCCGGAAATTGTTGTTGTTAGGTCCCTCGAATAGCTTCAAATTGGAGTTAGAATTGTTAGTTCAAATCTTTCTGTATAGATGGCGTGGCGATACAAAAAAATTTTTTGTTCCCTGGATCGTGGAAATACAATCCATCTGAAAGATCCTTAAATTTTGAGTAATTTTCGTAATATAAAGTTTTTCCCTACTTTTACTTGTTTTCGAGATATGTCGACTCCAATATGCAATTAATGATATACCAGGAAAATCTATTATTTTATTTAAATCACACCGAGACAAAATATTCTTTTAAAATATTGTTATAATGGCTTTATTCACATCATATACTAACTAACAAACAATGAATTATAAAAAAAACGAATGATCAACTACAGAAAAAAAATTGTACAATGGTAAATCTTATAAGGGTCAGAGATAAACCGCATTTTATCAAATGTTTTTAAAAAATGCAGTCATAGGTGGCTCATGTCATTTGTTTAAAATAAAACAATGACAGATGACACATATTAGTTTTCCAATAATTACAGTTTTATCAGTTTGCGTCTTTCAATTTAACTATACTAGTTATACGAATTACCATTTTACAATCTTTTTTCTGTTGTTGATCATTTGTTTTTTTTATAATTCATTGTTTGTTAGTTAGTATATGATGTGAATAAAGTCATTATAACAACATTTTAAAAGAATATTTTGTCTCGGTGTGATTTAGATAAAATAATAGATTTTCCTTCCATACATTGCATATTGAAGTCGACATATCTCGAAAACAAGTAAATATAGGGAAAACTTTATATTACACTTTATCTTTCAGTTGGACTGCATTTTCACGTTCCAGGGATCAAAAAATTTTTTAGTATCGCCATGCCATCTATATAGAAAGATTTGAACTAACAGTTCTCACTACAATTTGAAGCTATTCGAGGGACCTAACAACCCCAGTTTGCGGAGCTAAAATAAATTTCTTCATTTCAGAGATATTGGCAGCGGGAGTGTTAATTGGCACACCATGTTGTATATTAAGATATGATTTTACTCTATATACCTAACAGCTATTTTTATATTTATTCAGTTTTTTAGAATAAGGGGTGGTTTTCATCCCCTCAAAATAAGAATCACATATCAAGCATATATAACTTTTCATCTACAGGGTGAAATAAGCGTTATTCCAAATTTCCATACAAATCGGATTTATCCGATTTACCCTATTTTTCTCTTCGTTCCCTGGACTATATACTATCTTTCTTTCTACAGAGTGTTTTATAAATATCTTTAAACAGGATGTTCCGGTTTATGTTTCGATTATTTCTTCATGGGATTTTTTAGTGTTGATATTTGAAAAACATATTTTATAAAATATTTCCGATTTTGATGAAATTATATTTAACGATTTGTCTGATTAAAATTAAACATTTACTAAATTTGATTATAAAGTCACTGCTTGTAACTTATTCTGGTGATTCTAAGAACAAAAATCCAATTTTATTCTAAAAACGAACCATTTCTGACTTATTTTTGCTTTTTTAACTTATATTAAGTCAGCTACCAAGTACCGGAGATTTTACTCACAGTTTTTTCCCGGACTCTTTCCCGGGACTGTCTAACAGCTAAGAACATTTTGATAATTTTTATTAAAGTATTTATTTTATAATCAAAGCTCCACTTCCAAAGCTTCAGTGCGTTTAATTCCCTACAATTAGGAAGCGAGTTTAAACTGAAACACAACTGTATAAAATCCTACCCTAAAAATAACCGTTTCTATAAAAAGTTTTTTTTTCAAAAATAGGGAGCAATTTTCTAGGTAACGCTAATTTTACAAACTA